CCACTCCAAGGCTTAGTGGCTTAAAGTAACAACAGTTGGTTACTTAGCTCACAAATCTGCAATGTGGGGACGGCCCGCAAGTAAGGTTGGCGTCAGCTGGGCCAGCTTGACTGGGGCTGGAGGGTCGATTCCTTGGATGACCCAGGCCCCTGGCCGGCATGTGGGTGCTGGCCGGCAGCGGGGGCTCAGCCAGGGCTGAGAGCTGGGGGACCTTAGTTCCTCTCCACCTGGGCCTTTCTGCAGGCTGCTTGGCTTCCTCACGCCATGGTGGCTGGGTTCCAAGAAGCAAGAGGAAGAAAGAGTTTCTTAAAGGCTGGACCTGGAAACTGGCACAGCATCACTTCCATATTATTCTGCCATTAAGGAGACACAAAGCTCATATTCAAGGAGAGTGGCCATTGGCCCCACTTTTCTTTTTCAAATTCTCATTACTTTTTTTGGGGGGGGTGGTAATTAGGTTTATTTATTTACTTATGTATTGTTTTTTCAAAATCCCTCCTGCTTATTTATTTATTTATTGGAGGAACAGGGGATTGAACCCAGGACCTTGTGCATGCAAAGCACATACTCTACCACTGAGCTATACCTCCCATCCCCATTTCTCTATCTTTTATCTCACTAACTTACACTTATTTTTCAGGTTCCCATTTAGACAGCCTTTCCTCCAGGAAGCCCTCTCTGATTCCCCAGGACTGCTTGAGTTTCCCCTTTATTGCCTCCCACGAACATCCTGTCTTATTTCTATCTAGCACTTTTTTTTGGTACTGAAATCGTCTGTTTCCTGGTGACCCTCATGGATGATACGTGTTTTGAGAGTAAGGATAATGTCTTGACCTCATTTTCCTCACTCGAAGTGAAGGAGACTTCAGGCCAGCATCTCACAGGTCCTCTCTGAGTTCTCATTATCTACGAGGTGTTGAGTCTACTGAGCTCTGACTCCCACGTATGCAGCCCTCTACCCCAAACCGAACCCACATAACTGAGTTTGTCATGGTGGGCTTTGCCGAAATGCATGCAATGCGCCTCCTCTTCTTTGCGCTCTTCCTCACCATGTATCTGCTCACCTTGGCGGAGAACTTGGCCATCATCCTGGTGGTGGGTTTGGACCAGCGGCTGCGTCGACCCATGTATTTCTTCCTGACACACTTGTCCTGCCTTGAAATCGCATACACGTCAGTCACGGTGCCCAAGATGCTGGCTGGTTTTACTGGGGTGAGGGGAGGCAAGAATATCTCCTACGCTGGCTGCCTGTCCCAGCTCTTCATCTTCACCTTCCTGGGGGCAACGGAGTGTTTCTTACTGGCTGCTATGGCCTATGACCGCTACGTGGCCATTTGTATGCCTCTGCAGTATGGGGCCTTGGTGTCCTGGGGCACCTGTGTCCGTCTGGCAGCTGCTTGCTGGCTGGTAGGCTTCCTCACGCCTGTTTTGCCCATCTATCTCATGTCCCGAATGACGTTTTGTGGCCCCAACGTCATCGATCACTTCTTTTGTGATGCCTCACCCCTGCTAGCCTTGTCCTGCTCGGACGTCTCCCTGAAGGAGACCACAGACTTCCTGGTCTCTCTGGCTGTACTCCTGGCCTCCTCCACGGTCATCGCAGTGTCCTACGGGAACATCGTCTGGACGCTGCTGCACATCCGCTCGGCGGCCGAGCGCCGGAAGGCCTTCTCCACTTGTGCAGCTCACCTGACCGTGGTCAGCCTCTTCTATGGCACTCTTTTCTTTATGTATGTCCGGACCAAAGTGGCCTCTTCCGTCAACTTCAATAAGGTGGTGTCTGTCTTCTACTCCATCGTCACGCCCATGCTCAACCCACTCATCTACAGTCTTCGAAACAAGGAGGTGAAGGGAGCTCTGGGCAGAGCCTTTTCCTTCAGGTCTTGGAAAGGTCAGTGAGGAGGTAGGTGGGGACCCCGTTTCCTTGCCTTGGCTTTTTGGAAGAAGGATGGTGAGGACTAAGGGAGCAGAGACCTAGGAGCCAGGAGTTATGAACTATGTATTAGTTAAAGTAAGATGCTAATCTGCTATAACAAGAGAGACCTAACTATAATGTAGCTTAAAG